TTGGGGTCATGATGGGGTTTGTTGACAGTGTTATTATTACAGGGAGGTGATCACTGGAGGTGACGTCATCTGTGGTAATGTGGTAGTGTAGGTGTGCTATGTGGTTCGCGAGTACTATGTCAGGTGTTGTCGCTGCGTTATGTGCAATGTATGTTGGTGTGTGTGGACCGAGGTGTGTGAGTCTTCCTTGTTGTATGTAAGAGGCCAGGCCTCTGCCAACTGCATTTGTGTCGTTGTAGCCAAAGAGTGTGTGGTGGGCGTTGAAATCTCCCATGATGTATATTGGTTTGTTGTGCCTCAGGAGCTGCAGGATGTCAGGTTCGGGAATGTATTGTCTTCGTGGTGGTATGTATAGTGTTGCCAGTATGATGGGTCCTTGTGGTGTGTTTACTTCGACTGCCAAAAGGTCTGAGGTGAAGTTATTTATGATTTTGTGAGGTATGTCGTTTTTGATCGCAATTGCTACGCCATCGCTTCTTTCCTGTGATTGGTTGGAAGAATAGACAGTGTAAGTGAAGATCTTCAATGGAGTGGTGTTATTGAGCCCATGACTGTTTATGAGGATGATGTGTGGTCGTGTTTTCCTGTATGTGTTACAGAGTTCTGTTTTGCGTGTTGGCCAGTGTAGTACGTTGTGTTGTATAATGGTGAGGCGTGAGTGTAATGTATGGTGTCCCATGTGTATTGTGTTGTTATTGAATGAGGAACCCATTATGAATAGCGTGCATGTTGTCACAACGTTCAATCATTCCGTTGGTGACCTTTAAGTTACCGTCCTTTAAGTGTTGGTGTAGTTTCTTTATCGTGACCACGATTGCATGCTCCTCTTTCGTCAGTAGCCACTTTATTCGCTTATTGATAATTTCTTGGCCTATTTCATAGCGATCAGAGTACTCGTATTTTTTTTTTTCTGCAAAGAGGCGGATGCCGTAGTAGGTAGGGTCTGTGGCAGTCCCATCCATGAGGCGTTCCATCCCCTCGTCATCGACGTGGCTGTGACCTGGTTCGGTTTTGGTCAGGTGTGGGTGGTGGGGGACCAGGTGTGTCGAGAGGGGTATCACTGAGGATATCCCTGGTTTCAGCCTCTGAGGGGATGTGTATGTACTTTGGCCTCACAGATGGGCCTGTGGTGGGGGTGCGGATGTTGGTGATGACTCCTGGGGAGATGACTGGGGTGCAGCTGTCTGGGCCTCAGCAGGCTGAGGCTCTGACATCTGGCAGGCTGGGGCTCCTGTACCTGAACCCGTACAGTCTGAGGTCTCTGGGGCTGAGGTTGTGGTGCCTGAACCTGTGAAGGTTGAGGCCTCTGGGGCTGGGGTGGTGCCTGAACCTGTGGAGGTTGAGGTCTCTGGGGCTGGGGTTCAGGAGGAGCCTGGATAGTCATGGTTGGGGGCTCGATGACTTTGAGGATTCCCCAGGAGTTTGAATCTCCGAGATCGAGATCAGGGAGATTGTTTGTTTGCCAAAGCTGCCTTGGCATGGTGTCTGAACCCTTTCTCAGGGGCAATGAGGTTCTGAAGGTGGGCGTGGAGAAGGACCACGAGTATCTCTTTGGAGAGATTATCAGGGAGGGCAAGGTGGATTGTGGGATCAGGGGTCTTTTGCTTGATGTCCTGACGGACCTGGTTTATTAAAGGCTTCCAGGCATTAGTGGTAGCCTGCACAGTCTCCTGTGCTGCCTTTTGGGCCACAGCCCTGATGGGTCTGGTCTCCTTCTCCTTCTCCTTCTCCTTCGACTTCTCCTGAGAAGTCTTCATTGCCTTTCTCATGGGGCAGCTATTGGCAAATGTCCTGTGGGCACCCCCACAGTTAAGACATTTCTTGACTTGACTTCTGCAGTCCCTAAATGAGTGGGTAGAGGAACCACATTCAGTGCATCTGGTCCTCTTCTCCTCTTTGCAGTGGTTTTTCAGGTGGCCATATCCAAAGCAATTCATACATTGCCGGATAGGGGTGTACCTTTCGAACTCTATCTGCCAGGGGGCAACATATAGCTTGAAAAGGTACATCCCCTTCTCCTTGATTGCTTTGGCAGTGGCGTGGTCCGTGAATCTGACTTTGATGATGTGGTTGGCCTTCATCACAAAGATGTTGTCAACCTGGGCCTCTGGGAAGGCGGCAGTGATCTCGTCCTCGATATCGAGGGGAGATTCATTAACGACCTGACGGTCCAGTTTTTTAAAGACAAGCGTGAGCTTCGCCTTCATGTCCACAGGTAGGACGGGGGAGAAGCCAAGCTTCTCCAGAGACAGGACGACATCCTTTGAGAAGAGTTTCTCGGCTTGGATGTCGTCGTCGATGAGGGCCAGGTATCCATCCTGGATAGCTATGTACCGAAGTACTCTGATCTCAGCACCATAGAGTGCATTGGCGAGCAAGTCACGTTTCCTCGGTGAGGGACCACCGAGGACTTTGATCTTAATTTTGGCCATGGTCGGGGGACATAAGGGTGGCAGGGGTATGCAGGTGAGGTGAGAGAGGAGAGGAGAAGGTGAGAGTGAAGGTGAGGTGAGGGTGAGGGTGAGGTGAAAGAGGTGAGAGGTGGGGTTGAAAGGGGTGATTGGAGAGCCTACACTCGACCCCCCCAAGTGACAGACTGGTTGCGTTCTCCAGTGCACTTGAGGATCGGAGCTTTGTGATGGGCCACTCCCTTATTGCCAATCCTTGCTACAAAGGGGCAACAGGTAAGCGGCGCGCACCCAGACGAATACAAAAACCCACGGGGGGTTTATGTAGGTCCAGGTGACCACAAGAAAGGAAAGGAGTTTAGAGAGAGGCAAAGCGTACCTAGATGTCGCCTCAGACTGCTGGGCCTCACTATACAGGTTGCCCTGTGATAGTGAGAGCTGCGGGTCTGGGGAGAGGTACAGATCTTCCCGTATCACCGTTAATAGCTGAACAAGAAAACACCTTGAAGAGGCGAGTGGCAGAACTCTGCAGAAGCAGAGTTATTTACTTTACAGTTTTACGTTAAATGAGCAAAAATCAGTGCAAAAAAGACCGCGGCGCGACTGAGGCCCCGGTAGACCAGGGTTGCTCAGTGACACTTTGGTTTGTTCTTTTTGGCATGAACTTTTACTCCTTCGCAATGACTAGGTGATGGTGGGTCATAGTTGCGACGGGCAAAGCTTGGTATTTATAGTGGCTCCAGGTGAAACGGTCTCATTGGGACATGTGGCAATGCGGGATGGCCGGGGATTGAGCCAATAGCGTGGCCCACGCTTTCCTTGGCCAGCCGAGGCTGGCGCTGGTGGTGCACTATAAAAGGAAAAATCATAGTTTGGAGTTTATAGCAATACCTCTTGCGAGTGTTGTCAATCATGCCACCCAAGACTTCCGGAAAGGCTGCCAAGAAGGCCGGTAAGGCCCAAAAGTCTATCACCAAGGGTGATAAGAAGAAGAAGCGCAGGAGGAAGGAGAGCTACAGCATCTACATCTACAAGGTGTTGAAGCAGGTCCACCCTGACACCGGTATCTCCTCCAAGGCCATGTCCATCATGAATTCTTTCGTGAATGACATTTTTGAGCGCATTGCCGCTGAGGCTTCCCGCCTTGCCCACTACAACAAGCGTTCCACCATCACCAGCCGGGAGATTCAGACCGCCGTCAGGCTTCTGCTCCCCGGTGAACTGGCCAAGCACGCTGTCAGCGAGGGCACCAAGGCCGTCACCAAGTACACTTCCTCTAAGTAAATTGCTTGGTTGCTCGGTTTCTCCGGTCTCCTACAACAACATCGGCTCCTTTAGGAGCCACAGAACATGCAAAAGTAGATAGAAATGACATTAACCAATTTGCCTTGTGCATTCTTTCAAAGTACAGTAATATCAACATATATATCAATGTAATATCGTTTGAATCGTTAGATTTCGAGTAAGGGATTCATTTTCATCGTTTTTACTGAAGTGTGTGTGTGTGTGTCTGTCTGTCTGTATGTATGATTAAGGATAGAGGAAGTGTGTGTGTGTGTGATATACGAGAGAGAGAGAGATGAAAGCTGTGTGTGAATATATATATAGATGTATAGAAATATATGTTGAAAGTATATATGCCTGTATATCATAGTAACATATATGTCTTCCATAATTAGAAATATAACACATGCATTATGCATGGCATATCAATGAATAGGGTATGTATTAATGTGTGGGTGAATAGATTTATATTAGACATACATGTGTATATGTATACAGATATATATATATATTATATATTTATGTATATATATATATATATTATATATATAATGTATATATGTCTATGTTGTAGGTGTGTGTGTGTATATTATATAGATAGATAGATAGATTTGTATAATTGTCAAGACATTATATTGATTTATAATATATAAAAAAAGCATGTGTCATTCGATCTTCAATGTTATATAACATTATTATTATACACATAAACAAGCAAACAAGATAAATATGCGGGGATATAAGCACGTGCTTTAATGGTTGCCGCAAGCTTTGATTTGTAATTGTATATTTCTTAGTGTTTTATATAAAATATTATATAATATATTGGTTGAGGTAGGTTAGGTGGGGTGTTTGGTGATTGTAGTGTTTATTGTTTATATTGATTATTGCCTACACACAAGTGTGTTTGTTTGTTGAACTTTGAAGTCAGTCATTAACATATAGTCAATATTTTAGTCATGTTTATTATATTTTAGTAATGACTTATGTTTAAGACAGTGTGTGTCTGTATGTCTGTTTGCCGGTCGGTCGCTCGACAAATATTACAATGTATATTTGTTGTATATTTAATATTTGGCATAGTATCATACCGAAACGTATACGATAAGGAAATCAAGTGCGTTGACAACATGTTGAAAGTCAGTCATGCATGGCTTCGTGCCTTACCTTACTACTAGTTGCATACCTATCTATCTATCTATCTATGCAATGTCATTGATTCTAATCGTCATTGCTGGTTACATTTGACATCAAAAAACTAAAGCAAACAAGAAAAAAAAAAGGAAGCATGTCATGTTTCATCTCAATATTGATTAGTTTAGGCCCTGAAAAGGGCCGAGGAGGATGATTTTGATGTATGCAAGCAAGCTAGCAACCAAAATCTTAGGCGCGCTCTCCGCGGATACGGCGAGCAAGTTGGATATCCTTGGGCATAATGGTTACACGCTTGGCATGGATGGCGCACAGGTTGGTGTCCTCGAAGAGGCCGACCAGGTAAGCCTCGGAGGCTTCCTGCAGAGCCATGACAGCAGAGGACTGGAAGCGGAGGTCAGTCTTGAAGTCCTGGGCAATCTCACGGACGAGGCGCTGGAAGGGCAGCTTGCGGATGAGGAGCTCAGTGCTCTTCTGGTAACGACGGATCTCACGAAGGGCAACAGTACCAGGCCTGTAACGATGGGGCTTCTTGACACCTCCGGTAGCAGGGGCAGACTTACGTGCTGCCTTGGTGGCCAGCTGCTTGCGGGGGGCCTTGCCTCCGGTAGACTTGCGGGCAGTCTGCTTGGTACGAGCCATTGCGAATGATTGTTTGTATCTGTACAGATAGGAAACAGTCTGGCCGGGTTTCAAGAGCTGAATTTATACCAGAGCGGGCTTGGCCGTGCGGAGAAGTGTGGGCTGGCACAGTGTGCGTTGGCGCCGCCCATTTCCCCGGTGTAAGCAGGACCAGAGACCTGGCCAACTTTACCTGTGATCAAAGGAAATCCTTGATGAGAAATGGGACAATTAATACATGATGTCATCAACAAGGTGATTGCAAACATATGCGTGTAATGGGTCAGGTGACTTTGATGGATTGGAAGGTGTAAACAAGTTTATTTGCTTAGAGCGGGCGGTTAAGATGAGCGGCCGCTTGATGCGGCAAGCCTGAGCGCTACGCGAGGGTAGGGAACAGGTACCATTGCTAGGGTTTGCCAGGGCGGATCCTCTCTCTCTTCAAGGTTAGGTTCTTGCCAAGTAAGAAGAAGTAACTGTCTCCGAGGGTAACTACGCCTATCCAGCAGTGCTGGGTGTCTCCGTTTACCAAGGCAATAAAGTTGCAGGTTACGTTTATTACCCTGGCAAATACGCCGAGAGCCGATGTTGGCGCTGCCGTTTACCTAACCGGAAGACTTTATTATCAACTCTACAGAACTAGCTAGGAATAAAGATAGAAGAGCTTTCCAGATCCAGCTAGAGATAGAAATAGAAGAGCTTTTCAGGACCAGCTAGAGATAGAAATAGAAGAGCCTTCCATAGCTAGCTAGAGTTAGCAGAATCAAACAACGAGATGTTGTTAGGTTATCAGGTTGTATGTCAGGTTGTTATTAGGTTGTCAGTCTAGGTTGTGAGCCGTTTATTAGAGTCCCCTCACTGGTGAAGGTGAACCCCGAGGGCAGTGCCACGAGGGGGGTCCTTAGGTAGGACTGCTTTAAGCCAGTGAGAAGGGTTTTATTTCTCTTTACATACAGACTTATCCGGTAGCGGAAACGCTGTTGACCATAACGACGAGTCAGAGACAGCCCGCACTAGGTTAGTAAAACCGGTTATAGGTAGGATTAGGCTCTCTTAGAAAATGAAATCAAAGGAAAAAAAAGAAGAAAAACACCAACTCTCCTATGGTGAGGCCAGAAGAGAGAAGGATTCTGAAACATCATCCAATGCAACTATGGAAAAGAAATTGACTAAAAGTGAACCAACTAACTCTGATACCCTACAAGATGTAGAAATAGACATAACAACAGAAATTAAAAATGCTGCCTTGTCAAAGGACAAGCGTAAGAAGTCGATTAGCTTCCAACTCTACCTCAGAGGAGGAAGAAATTGCATCAGTATCTAATACAAAAGACTCCGCTCCCTCAAAGAAAGCGAAAGTAAATGCAGAAAACTCGGAAACACAGATGAACGTGTTCTCTGAAGAACTTGAACCCATGGACCATCATGATTTGGCACCAAATATGCCACCTGAAACAGACAACTCTCCTGACTTTGAAAATTTAAACAAATGAAATTTGTTCTTAAACCAAATACAGATTTTCCCACTGCATACAGTGCACTGGTAGCCCTGGAAAAGAAAAGAAAGACCTTGCAGTTGCCACCAAGGTAACACAAGGAGTACCTTCTTACTAACACCAAAAACAGTCGACACTGCAAAATTCCTCTTTTCAGTAAAACTCCTCTCCACCAACAAGTTAGTTGATTTGGAGAGACTCATTCCGGAAGAGGAAATCAAGAAAACAATTCTGGTAGGATTTCCTATGGAATTTCCGGTGGATATTCTGCTAGATATCCCTAATATCACCTCGGCAAAGAGACTTGTATCACGATTAACAAAATTGGAAACAAGACAGATTTTACTCTCTGTCAAGGGAGAAATTCCAAAAACCTTTGAAATCAGAAATCTAGGTTCATTTAAAACCAGAACCTACATACCTGAGCCTCTCAGATGTTTTAAATGCCAAAGATTCGGACACCACAAAGAACAATGTAGAGCTCCTGCTAGGTGTGCCATCTGCTCCAAACTACATGATACTAGCCAATGTTTAGAAAAGTATAAAAAAGGAGAAAATGTTCAGGCAAAATGCCCAAACTGCCAGAGCCATCACCATGCCTGGTCCCTCAAATGCCCTGAAAGGCATATTAGACTACAAAAGCCAAATAAACCTGACTTTGTCCCAAGTTCAATTCCACCAAAATCCCAATCAATTTACAATGGGAATCCTGATCAGAACCGGACACCAGTTGCCTCGAAGAATTTTACAAAGAAAAATTACAAACTCAAATAGACTATACTCAAAAGTAGTCACAAATTCTTCGACAGAGACAATACACCCCATCCAAGAAAGACCTTCAGATTCACAGAGTACTCCTTCCGTTGCACCTCCCTCAGAAACCTACTCAAAGAATATTGATACTCTTACTTCCTCATTAGAACGAATAATGGAACAAGCCAACCAAATGATTAATCGTTTGGTCCAACTGATCAGCAATTTTAATTCGATAATGACAAATCTACCAAACATTATCAAGACCCAAGTACCCTCCTTAGATTTAAATCCTTCCTCACCGGAAGCATCATTCTCTCTCTCAGAGGTTGATGTAGTAGAATTCACAGAGGAACCTCTGGAACAGCTAAAAAGAAAACATCCTAATCTAGAAATATTTGCACACAGTAGTCAAAATGAAAGCTTAGCCGAAACTTCTCCTCCAAGAATAGAAATTCCTTCTCCTACAAACAACAGAACTAAGAACAATAACAAAAACGACTATGGATACTAAGAACAAACCAATTAAAATATTGCAATGGAACATAGGTGGATTAAGGAATCACCTACCTTTTCTTAAGGACTCCCTTTACAGGGATCAGATTGACATTGCAATTCTACAAGAAACCATTTACGAAGGAATTAATATAAAATTCCCAGGATATCAAATCTATACAACTTCCTATTCTAGGAGAGGTCCCAGAGGGCTGATGACACTGGTTAAAAACTCCATACCTAGCCATATAACTAAACAACCAGCAACCCTAGGCCACAATATAGAATCTTTAGCTATATCAATTCATTTACAGGAAGAAATCATAGATATTTACAATTGCTACCGTCCCCCTAGAAACAATTGTATTCTGGAATTAGATGAACTTTTCAGTATAGCAGAAAATAGTCCCATCCTCCTTGGAGGAGATTTTAATGCTCACCATCCTCTTTTCAATGACCCAACATCCTATCGACCACTTCTGAAAGATCCTCCAGGAATACATATAGACATCATCTCTCCAATAGCCTCCATATACAAATTCTAAATAAGACTAAGGCTACCCACATAAGAGGAGGAGTCCTAGATTTAACCTTCACTAATGATTATCTAGCTTCTAATGCAAACTCCTCCTTTCACGAGCACCTAAACAGCGACCATTCAGCCTTAATCATTACTATAGAAATACCTAGGATGAACTCCCCACCTTACCAACCAAAATGGAATACGCACAAAGCAAACTGGGGTAGATTCCAAAAACTCATTGAAATATGGGCTTCTTCCTATCAAATTGGTGACAAAACTCTTGATAAACTAGAAGAAGACTTCAAAACAGCAATCACAGAAGCTGCCAACTCCGCGATACCATTATGTAAACCCTTTTCCAAAGAGCACCAGGATCACTGGTATTACAGTAACAGAGTCGCTGAACTACATCACAGAGTGAATATAACTAAGAAAAACTTATCAAAGTTCCCCTCCAAGGGTAATCTCGACTTGTATCGAGACACCTTAAGACACGTAAAAAGAGAGCTATGGGATATACGAACTGAAAAATGGCTTGCCTGGTGCGAAACTTTAAATTCCCACACAAAGATTAAAGATATTTGGAGCCATCTCCGCAAAGCCACTGGCTGCTATAGAACTAATCGAATCCCGGCACATCCTGATCCTCAAGGTGAAGCCAACAAACTAATAAATCAGTTTGCTACCAGATCGTCTTCCAGTAACTTAGACCAAAATACTGTGGAAGCCTTGGCAATAAACAGACCACTACAACTGCACATAATAGAAAACGCAATCGAAGATTCAGATGATACTGACCATCCTATTACCATGGCAGAAATCAATAAAGCCATTAATATACACAAAATCTCAGCTCCAGGGGATGATAAAATATCATATGGCATGATGAAGCACTTAGGACCCAAAGGAATGGATTTCTTACTTCATCTATACAATAAATCTTATAAAGAAAGAAAAGTACCGTCTGCCTGGAAAAGTGCCATAATAAAACCCATACCAAAAAACAACGATCCCAAGTCTTTCAGACCAATTTCACTACTTAGCTGCTTGGGTAAAACCCTTGAAAGAATCATTCTAAAAAGAATGCTGTATAAACTCCCAGATCTTCACCATAACCTTTTTGCCTTCAAAAAGAATACTGGTACCTCAGACAATATTGCTACTTTAAGATCAATGCTGGATCAAGGCAAGGCCACTTTAGTTTTCCTTGACCTGGAAAAAGCCTTTGAGCTTGCGGACCCTATAATAATTTCAACAATTCTAGCGGAAAAAGGAGTGAAAGGACATCTTCTGGCCTGGATTACAGACTATTTTACACAAAGAAAAGCTACAGTGATATTCCAAGGACACCTATCAAATACCCTTATTTTTGAAAAAGGTACACCTCAGGGAGGCATCCTCAGTCCAACTTTATTTAATCTACTGATTGAAAAACTTGTCAACCTTCCTTTCCGAAACAACACCACCTTACTGAGCTATGCAGATGACCTGCAATTGATAACCACAGGTCCACATCAACTACTACACGCTCAACACGCTTTAGATCTAATAACCCAAGCCTGTACTTCCCTTGGACTAAAAATTAACCCGTCCAAATCGTCAGGATTAAACATCGGTCCATCTAGACCCTTTCATCTACTTACAATCCAAGGCCAAAACATTGACTGGGTAGAGAAAGCTAAATGCCTAGGACACTTTTTCTCAGAAAGAAATCATGAAAAAGATCAGTTGGACTACCTCAAGCAAAGAATACAATCCAGAATTCTAGCAATGAGAAAATTAACATCCACCAGAATA